TATCACAACGAGTTGAAATGGTGTATATATTCAAGAGGCTTGCCGAGCGAATATACACCATTTCAACGAGTTGGATAAAGCCAATATCAAATTAAACAATTATAGATGTTCTATTTATCTCATACGACTTTTGTTTTAACAAACTTTGAGGAGTCTTTTAACAACAACTTAACTGGTAGGCTTTACTTTCTCCGAAAACGATTTAAGGGAGGGGGGGGGGTAACATTTGTCTTCAAGTAGCCAATACGAATTTTTTGATAAAATAAGACACTTCTTTGACATATACCAGTCTTTTTCTTACTTTTAACGATATTACTGCCATTTAATATTCATTTATAAGGGCAACAATTTTCACAAATAAAAGTTTCAATAAAATTAAATCTTGAAGCTAGGGATCGTGTCAAAATCGGAAGTGCTGTTGATAAAGCATCTACCCGTTGATAAAGCATAAACTTATCCAACGGTCTGTATCACCAACATGTATCAGATAAAAATATATACTCATCAGTGTTCATTTTTTTGGCATGGGATTTCCTTTGACAACCAGATAGTGAAACCATTGTGATGCTAAAACTAATAGCATGGCTAGTATTTCTTTTAATAGATCATGCTTGCCAAGTAAAAATTTTACATTGCATGTTTCAGACTCCAAAAATAAAAATGGTTTTCAACTGACATTTTTAGTAACTTGCACAGAAAAAAAGTCAATTTCTGAAAAAAATACTGTTTTATCAAATAGTGAAATGTACACATAACATACTTATGTATGCGGTGATACTTTGAAATAATACCTAGACTTAAATTATGTTTTTCTTGACTTCAGTGTTAACCTACCTAACATGGGACAAATGTTGAAAGAAGTACAACTTACGAAGACAAGAAAAAATAACAAGATGCCAGAAAAATTAAATTATGTATGTATTTAATGACTGAATCAAGTGTAATTTGAAAAAAAAATGATTAAAAATTGACGGCTTACACTTTATTCTCATAGTGTACTGATTATTTTTGTTGCTGACATGCACTAATTGTAACAGAAACAGGAAAGGAAAGTTAGGTTCAAAAAACAAAAGCATGACTGCAAAAGAAATATTTTGAACTACGCATCAATTCAATGGTTCATGGGAGATTAAAACATAAATTTAAAAGCTGAATTTTATATTCGGTTTATCATTGAATAAACTTGTACATGAGTCTTTTTTTTTCTTTGGTTCTCCTTTTTTGCGTTTATAAAAGAAACATACCGTTTCTCATTAAGTGCGAAAAATAAATTCATATATTATTAATTCCGACTTTTTATCTGGTAGAATCATTTTTTTTTCTAAAGTAAAAATTGTTCCTGTCCATTTTACTTATTCTTATATTCATCCATTAAAAACTATACTGGTCTTTATTAGCTTTAATCTTATAGTTTATATTAATCAATATACATATCAATCAAATATCAATCATATGAGAGAATACTTAAAACAATTAATGTAACAATAAGTTTTAATATAACTTGCAATGACTACTCTAGAAAACAATGCATAGCAAATTATTTTTAAATGAATAAATTCGAGGAGAAGACCAACCGTTTTCCACCCATCATTAAATTCCATTTTGATTTATCTCAATTGTTGCATGTCATCCGGTAGTAATGAAGATCATGTGCATGTGAAAGGACGGTATATTTAACTCTTTACAACTTACAGAATTGCTATGAATATACATTGAATCCTCGCGTCAAAGAAATATTACTTTACCCTTTCCCCGCAAGCACTTTATAGCGGGGTACAAATTTCTCTAAAGTTTAGCGGAAATAATATTCTGAAATAATATTTTAACTATAAAATAACTTTTCCTATTTTATGGGATTCAAGCAATAATAAAATAGTTGGAATTAGGCAATAAATTGAAGATTAAATGAACTTTTTAAAGTGCGTGAAAATGCGTGATTGCGGGGAAAGGGTAAATGCGTGATTTTGCGTTAGAAATAGGAAATGGTATATGCGTTAAAATGCGTGACTGCGGGGAAGGGTGTTAAACAGAAACTGCAACAACACAGTTTTATTTTTAAAAATAGACTTATGTTATTATTTTGATTTTGTATAGTCGATATCCTAAAATATATTAATTCTTAGGTCAAAGTTTATTGGTACAATTTTTCTCGTCTGAGAAACAAAAAAAAATTGATTGTTTTTATAAAATCGGAGACTTGTGTGTGACAGGTGTCTCAAATTGCTTTGGTCTTATATTGATATTCTTGTACCTTTCTTTATCTAAAAACTCTTTATTTGCCTTTTTTAGACGTTAATACAAAATTATTTTCTATTTTGAGAATGCAATCTCTAAAATCCATGCCAATAATAAATGTTAAGTTAAATGAGTCAATAGAACCTTCTTCCATAGTTTTTTTAGTCTGAAAATTAAAATAATCCACTTCAAAGTGTAAAGCCAATGATGTATCTATAAATGTGTGATAGAAATAATTTGAGCGACATGTGAGGTAAAGCTTCTATAGTTTCGTAGTATACATTCATTTTTTTTTTTGGACAATATGTGTATGACAGTTCCTTAGCTTGTATTTTTTCTTAGAAATGAAATCAAATTTAAATTATAATATTTTTTTTTAAATACTTGTACGAAAATAAATTATACTGCCTGTGTGACATGCGCGAGTGCTAGACTGGTATTGCCTGTCTTTACCGTACGCAAGAAAGTCGGATATCAGACAGGCAGGCCCGTCTAGCGCGAGTGCACGATAACAATGCATTTGCAATTGAGTCACCGGAAATGACCTTTTTCCACTCAACCAAACAAACATGTGCAAGTAGGTTCAACAAAAGAAGGCCAGATCTCGAGCATTTACAAGATTATACTCGTTATTTTCTTTCAGAGTTTTCCTAAATAAAGACTTTTCAAAACAAATATTTATATTACATTCTATACTTTAACATATTTGAGTTTGCAATTGTGGAATGGAGAAAGGGGGGGTATTCTTATAAGGTAATTAGACTACTTCTGTTTATAAGGTTATAGGCGGATGAAAATACGAGGATACACACTACTGAAACTGTATGCTATTATACTGTAAAAACATAATGTGAATGTCAAGGACCAATATACCCATTTTAGCTTATCAAAAAAAAAATATATGCATTTTTATATCACTCTTCTGATACCCATATATATCAATAAAGGTAATAATGAATAGATACTCATCTGTAGTATCAATATTGATCACTAAACTGAGAATTTAATACGTCAATAAATTCAGGGAAATTAATATTTTTGGGGGGTATTTGCAAATTATATTACAATATATACTTACGAAATTATAACAACTCTAGAAAATTATAAGCATAAAAAAAGCAATTTTTGATAAAACAAAATGAAACTTCTATCAATTACCGAGTATTTCTTGCTGCCAGTACATGTACCACCTTTTGATGCTAGCAAATTATCAAGCAACTTGCTCTATCATTAGCTAGCTTACCTGTGCCTGAATTTGTCATCTTTCCTATTGAAAATGTTAATGTCATCTTACCAGAAAAAAAAATCCATAACAGATAGGTAATATTATTGAATTTTTATTTTTTATATATAACTGCATTTTTAAAAGACCTTAACTTAATATATTTACACATTTACAATACACAAGATGCTTTATTTAAAAAAGTCCATATTGTTGCTAATGAATTTGACAGAGTTCACGCAGTGGGGAAAAGTAAAACATGTCAAACTACATGTATTGTATTTAAAGAACATTGCTTATCTTAAGAAATTATTATTTTTTTTAAAGAAATATTTAATGTGAATTCAGAAGACATGGTCGATTAAATTAGCAAATTCTTTGCTTTTTTAAATGAGAGGCTCGCATTTATTGAATTTTGAAGTACATGTGTAGAATTATATAAAACATATATCATAGATACAGATTGATGCATGCATGACACAATATAGTTTTTAAAATGCTTTCTTAACTTTTTATACTTTTTTTGATATTAAAAGAATATCTTTTAAAAGTACCCATTTTCTTTGACACTCATTATTTCATTATATGTGTATATATTGCTGATTTCCGGAAAAATATTGTTATTTATCCTAAAATATTTACATTTGCAAATGTTTATCTTTATATAACACTACTGAAAGCAATGCGTATCTATAACTGTATGTTTACAATTGCAAATGTTTTCCTTTTATAATACTACTGAAGGCAAGCGTTTTTATAACTGTATAAATACAGGTATGGGGTCAAGAGGTCATAGATGTGCGTTTGGATAAACGTTCGACGTAATTTCTCTATGACGCCATAAAGGGTCAACGCGCCTTAAGTGGATTACATACATGCCGTTCGGTTTGAAAAATTAACGCATTTCACACGTTAAAAGTAACAATCAGGCAAATATAAAGTATGAATGTCACAAATGTAAATATAAGAAATGAGGTATAATTTTTTTTGTTTTATTGAGATGTAAAACGGGTTGGCACATGATCAAATCTTCCATAAAGCCCTTCGGGCTTTATGAGATTTGATCACGTGACAAACCCATTTTAGATCTCAATAAAACTCAAAAAATGATACCTTATTTCTTACATTATAACAGGTAGGGGGTCAAGAGGTCATAGATGTGCGTATTGATAATCGTTCCACGTAATTTCTCAGTGACGTCATAAAGGGTCGACGCGCGTTCAGTGGATAACATACGTTGGGTTTGAAAAATAATGCATTTCACACGTTAAAATCAGGTAAATATAAACTATGAATAAGTCACAAATGTAAATACATGTATAAGTAATAAGGTATCATTTTTGAACATCTATCGGAATATGAATACGGGTTGGTCACGAGATTAAATTCCACAATGCCCGAAGGGCTTTATGATGAATTTAATCTCGTACCAACCCGTTTTATTGCCCGATAGATGTTTAAAAATGATACCTTATTTCTTAAGTACAGCAATTTATTTCTTTAAACAATCCTATATTAATAGCGAAGAGACAAGAAAAACTATGGTAAGGAAAGAGAGGAGTTTGTTTTACTCTTTTGTGTTTTTGCATAAAATAACGTTTATAAACATTTTTTCAGGTGTATTCCCCCTCTGATGAAGGCCTTTGCCAGATACACTTTTTTTGGATTATTTCCAAAACTAGTGTCAGGGGTGTTTATGTTAAGCATTTCCCTAAACTTCGGGTGCATACTACCGCATCAGATTAATGGATTGGAAGGAAGTTTAAGAATTAAGAGAGGAAGTGCTGATGTTAGTAGTTTTTTCTTTATTTATAAAAGAACATATTTACTAGAATTTGCTCTCTTATTAATTTTTTTTTCGTTTCTACATATTCTGATGAACTGTATTTTAAGCATATTTTTATTTATAAATGAAAAAAAAAATATGTATATATAAAAAAGGTAATGTTCAAATATTCATAAACATTTTAATTTTACCTAACTTAGGTCAAATATGTTATTGTTTTGTACGACAGCTTTGATTTTGCAAATCTGAAGAATTTTGATCTGCAGAAGTACTACTTTTACAGCAAAACCATGGCTTAGTAAGATTATGTGTATGAAATATAGGTATTTTAACCTTTCACTGTTCAGTGGTCAGGTGCCCTACATGTATACAGTCAAAATAATTTTTTGATCAAAATGCCAAATATTTAAAAAAAAAATGAAAAGATTAAAAAAAAACTAGAGATCTTATATATTATATTCTTTTTTAACTAGACTTGATTGATACCGTTTTATCTATTGATTTAGAGAGTCTCGTGTATGTCTTCATTACCAACAATAATGATCGGGAGAAAGTGCCCAAAGGACGAATCAACGTTTGAAGAAAGAAAACAAGTCTTAAATTGTTCATATATTCCTCAAAACTGTACAGACCCACTCAAATTTCAATACCACTGTGTACTAAATGAGTATGCTAACCGATCAGTTGAAGTATGCGCAATCCCTACCAGAATTTTAGGTAAGAAAGTCATGGCATTAAGAGGAAGACAACTTATATATTTCTGTTTACAAATGTTTATATGTCTTCCAGGGGTAAAAACATTGCTTTGATTCATTCTGTAGAGTATTTTTTTTCTAATTAACATATATGATAAAGTATCTAATACGGTTTAAAAACACAAACAAATAGCAATGATGAAATTAAACACGATATTTGTAACTATGCTATTTTCTTTTATAATATCGATGCACTGCAAAAATATTTTATCATATTAGGAAGTGTTTGTGCTGAGTTTAATATAGGAGGGAAATTTGTCCAAGAACATTACACAACACCTGTACCCTGTTCAAGATGTCCGTTTGTGTATACATCGACTGATGCTTACAAATGTAAGTTTTTACCAATTTTCAATGAATTATTTCATGACAGCGAACACTTAAATAGCATTTATACTCTCAATTCAACGTAAAATGTATTAAACAAGATATCTTGATTTGAAAGTAGTCCCAAAATATCCGAGTTGTTCGTTATATTTTTTTTATTTATGAATTGTTTAACATTTTGCCATTTTTTAACTTATGGGAGAAGGGGGATAATTCTTAACAAAGCAAATAGATGTCATTATATGCTATGTTAAATGCATGTAAATGAAACAGTCGTCATTAAGATATGCAAAAATGCATACGACTTAAAACATTCAAAATCAATTAAGAAATAAGCTCGTTCGATCTTATATTTCTGTTGTCTTTTGAAATTATCTGTATTTGTTTCAAATTGTTTCATATGGAGATTTGAAAATTGTTTTCATCCTTTTTTAATGAAAAAATAGATAAGATTTGATTATTTAAGATAAAGGAATATTTTTTACTTTAATATGATGTAAAACATTTAGTTTATGTTATATATGATATATTTAGTTATAAAAATATCTTGCTCAGATTATCGAGAATAATTCAACATAGCATGTTTCTGTTAAATTCTGAGAGAAACACATGTACTTTATAACACAATAATTATTTTAAGTAGATCATGTTAATATGTACGTTGATAATACTGGGTATTTAATTTAGCTATTGCCTTTTTGTGTTTTGATGTTTATGTAATACACGTGTATACAATATTACGATGCCGCCTGGACATTTTCTGGTTAATATACAGTATGTGCTACGAAGTATATACTAAAGGTGATATTTGTGTAATCATAAAATGAAAATAACTATAATACTAGCTTCTTCATTTCCCTTTTTAATCCATCTTTATTTTTTAGATCAGGAATGTTATAGAGGCATCCAAAACATTTCATCAACAACAACAGTGTTATCAACGTATTCAGTTCTTATTTCATCAACACATCCAACAGGTCTACAATCGACTTCCTCTAATATACCTGAACTAAATGTAGAGAAAAACAAGTACGTATATTAAAGAAGAAGACTAGTACTTATTCTGTTTGATTCATTTTTCAAAAATAAAATAAAAATAATAAATGCTGAGAAATTCCAAACACTACACATGTTTTATGTTCGTTACGACAACTATCTGTCTGGGAACATAATTATGTGAAATTGACTTTTGTCTTTTCCAGGTCCTATATTTTGTGGATTTTTGTAGTTGCTGGTGTGATAGCAATCGTACTGGTCATAGTCATTTTTATAAAATATATATGGCGTCGACATAATCAACCTGATGCAGAATGTCACCATCAAAGTGAGGAAAATATAGAACAAGAAACACCATTTATTGAATTAAAAAGTACATAAAAATTGCATAAGCATATGGTTGTGTTTTTTTAGTAGACATTACTCACAAAATGTTTCTACAGAGGAATTTTTAAATATTTAAGTATAAATCATGAACATTTCAAAATAAAATGAAACATTTTTTTTTAAATATATCTAAACAATCATGTCCTACCTTGAATGTCAAACCTGAAGCTTTCGTGGACTTTAAAGAAACCAGTAAAAACTGAAAGATGGATATATTCCTGTTTAAAAGTATTATCCCCCATTTTGATCTCGCCTTACCCATGGTTGTCATAACTTGAATAAATTTTAAGACGTACTTTGTATAAGGATTTCCTATACGTATAAACTTTTCTGACACAATGTTTTTGTAAAGACTATTAGAAAAAATACACCAATATTTCTCCAATTTTAATTACTGTTGAATCATCAATGTTCTTGTGGAGCGGGGAGGGATGTTGTTAATTTGTATATACAAATAACCCGCGATTTACGTTCAATTCAAATAAAATATTGTTTTTTGACGAAATTTAAACACCGGGAATTATATTGATTACACACAAAATTTGACCACCATAATTTTTTTAAAAATGTCAAATTACATGTATGAGATTTTTTGCTAGCCAAAATTATATGTAATGGTCTTGTAGCCAGTTTTTTTCTTTTCTACAAAAAATCATAACAAAAATAAATTATAACATAAATTAAACATGTGAAAACAAAGACACATTTTAAAAAACGCCATAGGTGGAATGGGGTGTCCAGGGAGAGTACGTATTTCCTCTTGATCATTCAAATGCAGTTTTGCTGTGATGTCTCTGTTTTGATCAATTGAAAAAAGTCATCCATGGTTGAAATTATATTTAACATAGAACTTAAATATATGCGTCAGTATCTTTACAATCAAGATCAGCTTCAATTATATCAGAGACAATTTTTTCACACAAAAAAGTGAATTGTTTTTCATTCTATGTTTCTATCATATATGAACCGAAACACCATCTACATTTGCATAATGCACATTTCCTTCCCTGATTTGAGTTTCCATTCTTTGAACACGGCGAATATTAATGAACTTTTCATAGATTGCCATGAAAATGTAGAGAGTAAGTCCTAGGCAGAAGATAACCCCAAACGCTGCGACCGAATCCTGGAGTGAAGTATTATTTTCATTCTTTAGTGGCAATACTTTTGCTGACTTTGTTGCTGACATTCGGTTGGTGGAGATTTCATTAAAAGCCTGATTTTCTTTAGAAGATAGATGCATATCTACAACTGCCAATGGACTTTTTAATAATAAAACCTTGCATACAATGCATTTTATCTTAATTTGAGCAAGTTTCAATTGAACTTTCAACATCTAAATACATATTCAAAAGCAACCAGTATATGAAAAAGCTACAAGGTATACACATGTGTCTTTATATATTTGATATATTTTCACTTAACTGATTCAAATTATGTAGTCCTTTTTGCATTAAAAGTCATTGATAAAAATACAAAATTCAAATCCTTTATTTATCTGAAAAGGCAATTGAAATACTTTAAAAATTAACAATCTGAATGTAGTACAAGAGCATCGTACTCATATCTGATGACTCCATATAATGTAGGAACTTGTATCATTTTTACATATACTGCGAGTTTTGTCTTAATAAGAAAAAAGGTTATAAAGGCTTACAAACTTGACCAGTCAGATAGCAACCGTGTTTTGTGCGCATTTTGGTTTCGATTTTTAACAAATGTTTACTAGCAGTGCCTCAAGTGTCTTATAATATATTCCCCAAGGACCAGGCTGCATCTAAACAAATATATGTACAAGTCTTGGTGTTTGGAATTGAGGTGGAAAAAACAAAAATATTAAAAAGATTAAATATCAGAATGCCTGGTTTTATAAATTACTTGATACACCTATATAGAATATTAATTTCCCTGTAGCAGACCTATAAAAATATACTGACGTGCAAACGAAACGCAACAAGCAAATTTAAGGGAGTTACTTGTACATGTACATGGGTTATTACTATGTACCAAAAAAATTTAGGGCATCTCTAACTTTCCCAAATCAGTTATTTAACCGTTGAATGATTTTCATTCCATTACCGGAAGTTGATTTTTAGCCGTCTTAAGGGAAATCCAAAACTTGTATTTTAATTAAATATATGTCAATATTTGGTGTTGTCAAGAATTTGCACTGTTAGTGATAACATTTTAAAACTATTGTACTAAAATACCGGGGAAAACATTCCTGTTTTCTTTTCCGGATGTGAAGCCTTTATTTCCTCAAAATGAATGAAATCTCGTATTTCAATTGCAAATGCTGTAAATTCTCATTATAAAGAATATGCAAATATGCACTATACATAACGACTCTCTATGCTCGCGTGTTTCTTGACAGGAAATCTAAGGTTTACTACACTTCGCCAAATTAAAAAAACAATCGTCCTTAGTATTTGAAAAACAGGCATTTAAAATGCCAAAGGATATTAATTTCACTCAGATTAAGTCATTGATAAAGCTAATGCATGGTAGAAATTGGGTTGCATTTGTTGTACATGGCGGACTAGCGCGTTTTAATTGAATGGTCGAAAGGGCATTTAAGAGTTATATGTTACTTTTACGGTTTAAAACAACATCAAAAATCAATACATTCAGGTAGATAGCAAATTTACGAAAAAATGATACTTCTTTAAAACGTTAAATGTTTTCTTTAGACCTTAAAATGCGACACATAACGCTTCCAAGTTTGTTCCATTTTCATTCATTGAGAGTTTTTCTCTACTATATATAGTCGTGATCATTCAGACGCATGCCTTTATAACACAAGTCAGAGCAGTTTGATTAACAATACTTATTTCCTTTGTCTCAAGTAATGAATAGAGGATATTCAATATTTTGTCTTTGAATATGGAATTTATTTCACGAGAGGGACATGATTTTTTTTTTCTGGGCCACAGTAGCTGGCAATATCAATGAGTTCTTGTTTTTATACACTGAGTTTAAAAAATTTGATACAAAATTGTATTATCAAACCTGTCTTCGGACACTTCCTCAGATGAAATGTCTCGTTTTGCTTCTTTGAGCAGTAATGTTATTTTCAGATATTTTATGATAGAAAGTGATCAATACCTTGTGTTGTAGAACTCTGATTGGCTAGGCAACCAAGGGCAGGATCGCACTCGTTCTCAGAACAGTTACACATACTCATACAATGCATTCCATAGTAAGGGGCTCTACAGGCATTGATACAGTTAAGTCCCCATCTACCAGGAGAACAATCTGAAACAGAATTTGAAGTTTTTTTTCTTAATTTTGTCTATAGCGCATCATGTTACCAATATTGGAAAATGCACGAAAGGAAGTGATATTTACAATTTCATGTAGCTTTAAACAGTAATTGGTCTTTACTGTATCTATATTGAAAATGGTCACTCATTTTTTGATCGTTTTTATTTATTTGGAAAAGTCAGATGTTTATAATATATGTCCTTCATAGTGTAATTGGGATAATTTTGGTTATATTTCACCTTCACATTTTTCTGAAACTTCGTTCCATACTTTCCCTGCACAACACCTGATTTGTTAAAGAAAAGAAAAGCACGGGTTTAAATTAATATTTATTAAACGCTGTTGTATTTCAATTAAATTTTCGACAAATGACATATGCACATATAATAAAATTCATGAAACTTTATGGAAAAATTTAGAGCATTTGTTCTGGGACAAATCGTTAGCTTAGGATATTTCTACAAGTTAAAAAAAATGAAGGTTGTAGCATTTTTCATCATTTAGTAAATAAAAGAAAATTAAAAAAACAATGTTCTTTAATGGAGGTTGACTACAAAATAAGTAGGTCAAAAACGACTCACTGTCCTTTAGCAAGTCCAGTGCAATCCATGCAATGACCGACACTAAATACTGTGATAAAAATCAATGTTATTAAACACTCCATTTTGTGTGTGAATAGTGTCAAAAATCATTATGCATGCGGAAATATATATGCAAGTTTAATTTTAAACATATTATTTATAATACCTGATTAGCTAGGGCTTAATGATTTAACTACATGTAGGTCATAGTATATTACGGTAATTAATATTAATATAAATATGTGGAGAATATACTATGCCTTGCAGAAAAAAAAGGGGGAAGAGCAGTTTTTTTCTTCTGAAGACATGTATCATAAATTATTATTTTTTATACATGTACGATTTACTGAAATTGAATGCAGTTTCTTCGAATATTCGACACAGGAATAGATTTAAAACCTTGAAAAAAAGTTGAACAGAAAAACGAAGAAAGCATGCTCTATGTTTACTCTAGATTTCCTTCATTCACTTCCATCTGCTCCTCTTGAATTTTCTCTTGTCTTCCCTTACCTCAGTCAACCAATTTAACATCTTATTCTCCCTCTTGTGGCTTAAACACTTTATTCACCATCTTACTCCCTAATTTATTATCGCCCTTTCAAAACTTCTTCCCCTTTCTCACCATGAATACCATTTATTTATACCTTACCTCCCAACATTTTCTTCATATAACTCTATGGTCCACGGCCTCTCACCGGATATCTTGTTGACTTTTTTACTGCATTATACTTGGCAGTAACCTTGTTGAATTTTGATTGACACCACAGCAAATTATAAGTAAGCAAGTATTGTCCTTTTTCAATTGGCTGCAATGTCCTTCGACAAGGCTCATTAAGTCCACCTCATTGATGAAAACCCGCCTACAGTTTGCCTCTAAGACCATGAGTAAGACAATAACATCCTGTCTACTTTGCATGTCCCTGTTTGCTGTGCTATTGAATCGTATTGTTTGATTGGATTTTTTGACTTGAATATATATATATATTATTATAACAGTAACTTGATCCGAAGGGTTGTATCACGTCGAGTTGACAGGCACGGATCATCAGATCTAACGAGACGCGAAGCGTCGAGTTTGATCTGATGATCCGCGCCTGTCAACGAGACGTGATACGACTCTTCGGATCAAGTTACTGTTATAATGATAAATTTATTATATACCCCCTTATAACTAGCTAAATATAGCAGAATAAAACTTTAGAGATTAATTGTGTAATATTTATTCATAAAATAAAGCATAATAACAAGGGACTTTTTAACGCGCAAGAAAAATAATGTCATTTTTTTGCGTACTACGTCATCAGTTTCAGAGAGTGGTGATATGGATTCAGAAAACCACAGTGTGGTGATCCGGAAAATCGGATCAAACTCTGTAAAATTAACAGTAACAAAAACAAGGAAATTGATGGGTATATAATAATGTTCGTTATCTTCATATCTGATCCCACCTTTGAGGATTTTGAGACCTGTGTTACTCTGCTCCTATTTTGTATTGTTCTATGGTCTTTGATACTGAATACGTTCGTTATCTTCATATCCTTTATATTTTATATAGGCATAATTATATAACCTGTTATAATGAATGAAGGTATATTAAATACAAATCAGCGGAAAAGAATAGGTTAAATCGAAATTTTATTCACAGATGAAAAAATGATTAGAATTGTAAGGAAGCCCATTTAGGACCTATTAAAAAATATTTTTGAATTCGTTATAACAAATTTTAAGAATTCGTTATAAGAATTTAATTTGTTATAACAGATTTTTAGAATTAGTTATAACGAATTTAATTTGTTATAACAGATTTATTGAATTCTTTACAACGAATTTAATTTGTTAGCACAGATTTGTTGAATTCTTTATAACGAATTTTATTTGTTATTACAGATTTGTTGAATTCGTTATAACCAATTCAAGATAAGGAATTCAATAAATCTGTTATAACAAATTAAATTCGTTATAACTTTTGATGAAAGCATAGCTTGGGCTGTTGGAATAGTGATCAACAGCCTTATTATAAATAGCACACAGTGTAGAAAAGTAAACAAAAACACCAAACAGCGTCAAAGAAGACGCTTCCGATAAACAAAATAGCCTCATTGAAGGATACTTTAACAACTATATTTAACATCTCAAACTCTGGAAATGTTAATTGACCAATATCTTTTTTTGAAAATGAAATTGAAAGAGGAATTAGATTTTTTTGCAAATGTATTCATAATAAAGGCTTTGGAAGTTGAAGTTTACCTTTTTTATGGATAAGTAACCCCCCCCCCCTGCTCCTTTCACTTACCCCGACCCACCACTTTCAATTTGCTTCTGACGCCTGTGAATGGTGTATAGTTTTTGTGTCTCAAATAATAAAAATGGAATGCACAGTACGAAAATGCATTTGGATAACATTTGAACTATGAATATAGTATACAGTACATGTAAAGAGTTAATTAACATAACATAAAATACACTGTAGATTCCTTTTTCCCTTTTCCTATGACATATTTCGTCTAGGAAGTATTCCCCTTCGCCGCCATATTGTAGGGCAACATATCCACATCCTTTCAGTACGTTTGACAGAGCCTTTATTGATTCATAATTTTAAGATTGTAAATATACCCCTTTCCCCCATATATTAAAAGGGAATAATTCAAAGGCAAAATATGTCATAGGGAAAGGGTTTATTGAAGATTTTAAAGAATAACTCTGTTCTTTTTTTGTTTGTTGTATGGAGACGCCACCACTTGCTGATGCACAGCATTGTTAAGGACGTTCGATCCTGTGGTTTTGAGTCGATTTGGTCTAGACCTTTATTTCTAAAATTCTGCATTGTTTTTAAGTTATAGCGTTGAATTTAAATTCTACAATGCAAATTAAACAATATCCATTGCAAAAAACCATTATTAAATTTCACTCAAGTAAGGTTAAGCCAGGGACTATAGTTTGTGGCGGAAGGATTTTTAGAAGAAAATTATCAATTTATCCCTTTTGAACTTTATACAGTACTGTTAATTTTAAATTCCTATTTTTCCGTGCTAGTTGCACACAAAGCTGCTTTTTGCAATGAAATGTGTTATTCACAATTTTTTTTTTTTTGTAATATCTAAAAATTTAAATCATATACCCCCACTTTTGATGTTCTTTTCTGAATATTTAAGATATTTTTGACCTACATGTATCTTCTGAAATCCAGAAAAAGTTAAAGACTTTAAAATAATTTTCTTGCTTATTAAATTTTTAATGCAAGAAAAATCCCATATTGTGAGTGCAAAAAGGTCAAATAATTGATTATGTGTAGGAATTTGAAAATTTTTCTTCGTCACAATATAAAAGTGTCTTTTTTAAAATAGACTTATAGTTTTATTTTGTTCTATGCTTTATTTGGATAAAAATATTAGAGGGAAAACGTTGAAAATGTAATTTTTTATTAAGACATAAATTTCAGTGCAAAAAGGTTATATCTAATGTACTGTAGCTCCAAAAGAAGCATATTGACTCCCATATATTGATTTTGTTTTTAGTTAAGCTATGTGTGTAGAAACTAAAAAGCCGCGGGCTATAAGCAAAGCACTTACATGTGTATCATGATGAGTTTGTAAATATGACGTCATTTTGGTAAACATGACGTATTTGTTATACCCTTATAAATATCCTTCTATATATTTATTACTAATAAAAAGTCCTACAAAAGGACTGTATATTACATCAGTCTAACAATTTCACTATTGACCGATCTTACATAAGAATTGTTAGACCGCAACGTCACTTTTACGTCACGTCACTGTTACGTCACAAGTAATTACTCATCGTTCAATATCGGCGACGCGGAAATAGCCGAAGTTAAGATGCTAACAGCAAGGTAAGGTAGAAGGGAAGAGTATGTTTTATAATAATTATTTTTTGTGATACAATAAATTTAGTTCTTTCTCAGCTTGATGTTTTATTTACTGATTAAGCCATAATTTTCCATATACAGTAATTGATAATATAGCGTGTTTTGATAAAATTGATCAATCTTCAATGAGTAGTGAGGGGTATAGCAAAACAGTTATAGACTGGGATTCGGGCAACATTTGATTTGTTGGACCTGAAGGTGAAAATGTTGCCCTTGGCCTGCGGCCTCGGGCAACATTTTCACCTTCAGGTCCAACAAATCAACAAAAATCAACAAAACAAGGGTTCAAATATAACAGTCAATATGGTCAATTGAAATTTGTGGGGACATCACAAAATATCGACTTTATGTGCCACATTTAATTTGAAAATGCTATATTTACATGGAAATACATTGTTAAAATACTTAACATTAAATCGTCACAGCATTTTGTAGAATTCGGACAAAGGAATAACATATAACAATATTTCAATCAGATAGATGCCCTATTTTCTCACAAATGTCCAAGTCACACGTAACTGGTAACAGGGAATGTCCTTAGGGATTGAAACTGTTAAGAATATGCATTGCGTCCTTTTCTTACTTTTAGATGACATATTGCATTATTTATTGAACGACCCTCGTAAACAGCTTAATTGAATAAATTCAAGCTAGAATAAAATCCCCCTTTTTGCACATCTATTTCCCGTTGAACAGTGCTGCGTGGAGATCATTGAAGACTTTGCACTAAATCATGTCGGGGAAAATGAGCAGACGCCACCACTTGCTGGTTGAAAACCTTTAAATACTTTACACTCAAGCATGTCAGGAAAAAATGAGCAGTAATCGCTTTCACACTACATGTAATACATACTTGTCCTGCGACTCGGGACGTAAATGTAGACGGTTTCATCCGAAGGACAGATCTCCACTTCCTGCTGTGGTTTTTAGAGGGTAGAGTAAATGAAGGAAAAACTAATGTAAATAATTTATGCTGGAAATCTGTTGCTATTTAAATGTTACATACATAAGATTCAACTGCATACAGCATAGGCTTTGAGGAAGGTATCTGAAAATATGATAACTATAATAAATTGGGAAGCGTAACGGTTATGAATGACCTACAGAATATGTTTACTAGTTTCTTGAGTATGCCAGAGCATCAATGATTGTTGAAAACGTGGGATAAATAATTCATTATATATAATAAATGGCGAAAAATAGGTTT